GTTTCATTTTACGCTATCGTTTGTTTTGTGGTGTCGCAAAATAAACTGTTTACGTCAATATTTTTCATCGTTTTGATGGTCACTGTTGTGGCTATATAAATTTCTTAAAGTTCTCTCTTTCGCTTGTATTTTATATAACCACACTACGGATGGACAAGCGCCTGTTTTTATGCGTTGTGGTTAGCAACAACGACGGTAACAGCATCGCGTGTCCGCTTGTTTATGTTCCACATACACCTTTCACAATAAAGCTCAAGATCCTGTTGAGACTTTTCAAAATAAACTGAAGAGCAGATTATTTACGGATGAGAAGTAAAAAAAGAGCCGTCAGGTGCTAAAAAATAAACCTTAGACTCAAACGTTAGAACAGGCTTACACGCTGTGTAATAAATACTCGCAAAGAAAACGGCGGCTGTTACAACTTATGTCTAAAAATGTATAGTTTCATGCATCGGTTAAAACACTCGACTCCAGCTACATGACGCGCAGCTGGAAATTAAGAAGTATTTTTAGTAAGTTTTATATGACTTAGGTGTATGATATTGTTCACAGCAAATTTATTGGGGGTATTTTGAAGTGCAAAAGTACTTCAGACTTAATCAAAGCATAATATAGATGTACCATTAGTGAGAAAATGTTTTTCGACAATAAAAAACATTTATTGTCAAAATCTGCAGGACCACATACACTCAAGTGCATCTATCCCCGTCTGTCTCTCTCATTAAGTCCACATGAAATTTTAAGTGTAGTTGCTGACTGTCACTGAGGGTCTGCTGCATCATGCATGGGGGCAACACTTCAGGCTTGAATAGAGAACTGTTGTTCTTCTGTTATTTCCTTGGTTGACCTGAGTTTCTCTCCACAGGGGACATGGGGGTAGGGAAGTCATGTTTGCTTCACCAGTTCACAGAAAAGAAATGTAAGTGCTGCCCTGCTTTTTTTTTTTCTTCTTCTTCTTTTGACTCCTTTTCATCTCTGCGTGTGCCCCAGTGCATGTGAGATTTGCCAGGTTTAACTGGAGTGCCTAAATCTCTTTGGATTTCTTTTATACACCAGCGGAAGTCAGCAGCATAGATGTGGAGTGTGAGCTCAACAGTGAGAGTCTCTTCTTCTGTGTATGAGCCAGCTGCAGCCTCCCATTACCATTCAGCTCAGTTGTTTAGTGCTACTATTAACAAGCCAGATGCTGTGTTACTCATTCACTTGTCCACAATCTCATCCTGCCTGCACCCATACACCAGTGCACACATGCATACACACACACTGGAGTGATGTAGAAGAGGGTTTCAGTGGCAGTTTCAAACAAATTGATACATCAAGAGTGTTTGCAGTTTAGACAAAGTGATGACTTTAAAGACTGCGATTAATTATTGATGCAACTGCTGCTGCCGTACAGTAGGAACAAGTTGGCTATGTGTGACCTATACATATTGAATAATGTTTGTTACTACGTAATTTTAAGTTCAAACTAGGCACGTGTTTTGTTAAAGTTCACAAAACGGATGACAGAAGAAAGACTTGAAATACAGAAACATTAGTAAGGGCAACAGTAGAATTCATTGACATACTTATTCTCCCCAGTCATGGCTGACTGCCCTCATACTATTGGCGTGGAGTTTGGTACGAGGATAATCGAAGTAAGTGGGCAGAAGATCAAGCTCCAGATCTGGGACACAGCAGGACAAGAGCGCTTCAGGGCCGTCACCCGCTCCTACTACCGCGGGGCCGCAGGGGCGCTTATGGTCTACGACATCACCAGGTAGAGCGTGCTTGTTATGTATTGATACAGTCATGGTCACCGCTTAACACAGAAACTTTGACAGTGTACACTAGAGCTGCACGATTAATCATTAGAAAATCGCGATCTCAATTCATACTTATGTGCGATCTCATTTCCAAATGACAACGATTTATTTATTTATTTTTAAAAACGAGAGACGACGACGATTGTACCGCATTTTGATCCGGGACGTAATCTGCATGAAAACAAGCGCTCACTCTTCCTGCTCAACAAATGACAAGAGCGGAGCCTTATACCACGT